ATTAATAGCAAAAACAAGGAGAATGAATGAGACAAAAGCAACAACAATAACAATAACAAAGTGAAGACAACAAGAACAGCAAAGGAAAAAAAAGTCAGCAAATTGCTGCAGAAAGGACAAAAAAGGAAAACATTCATAAACCGTGAAACCATAAGCTGTTCAGAAACTCTTGATGAGGCGTGAAATGAAGTTTAAATTTGTGAAGTATTCGACATGCATGTTCTCATTTGCATAGAGACTTGTATTGGGATCTCTTTTCTCATAGTTGAGAAGAGTTAAGAATCGACCTAATTAATATTCAGGTACACTACTTACGTGAGGCAAGAATAAAGTATTAATGTTAAAAGTATCCCGACGATGGAAAGGCTCAGTCCCACGTAAATGATAGTTTCCAGAATTTTTTCGTACTCCTCGGTGAGCTGTTACAAAAAAAAAGAAAAAGAAAATGAAAGGACAACATTAAGTTACTTAATTGAGCCCATAAAATTATTGGGTAAGACAAAAATTATTTGATTGCCTTTGTGCTGCCGTCGTAGTCCATTAAGACGCCAAAATGCGTCAAATGATTGCAACTGCAAACTGTTTCTTCTGAGTTGCTTTTTGATGTAATTACATGGCATCCTTCCTCTGAAAAGCTGTCACACATGAAAAAAAGTAAGTTAACGAGGCGCACAAAATTATTTCTTGTCTGGGAAAGAGGTAATGTTTTATAATTTTTCGCGCTTTTTCCCCCATTGAAGTCTTAGTTGGGACAACATTTCAATCAGACTTCTCCTCCTCTCTTTCACGAAAGTGTTAACCTGCACAAAAGTATCTGACTGAGAAAGTGTATTCATTCTCCTCCGTAGTTGAGTTGATTGAGAAGGAATATATACTTTACAATGGTGTTTTGTAGTTTTTTTACCTTTCGCTTAAGCCACTCCAAAACATACAGCGCTTTTCTGCTGTCAAGACCTGAAAATAGATTTTATCGTGTGAGAATAAATCAAAACAACGCATAGCAACTAATTTTCATTTTACCTTCAGGTTTTTGAACTTAAGGATGACATTTTCTCGCAATTTCTCTGGTTTGGGGTCCACAGCTACGGCCATTATCCTGGAGTTGAGATATCTATGAAGGAAATTGTATCTGAAAATGGACCAGAACCAAGGAAGCCATGTTACATACTTTTGGTAGATTTAAGCAAGGTGGAATGGTCAGCGACAAGCAGGGAGCCTTTGTATGTTCAGTTTAGTTGAACTTAGATCTTGTGTGTTATCGTGTGATGTGTTTTGGGGGTAAACGAAGTGGAGTAATATGAAAATAACGTCACCTTTGATTGTCTGTTTCACTCGTGATGGCTTGATCTGTCAGAAGTAGTTCATGCAGATTCTTGTACACAAATGCAACTACCAATGATCCTTAAAAACCCCAAAGAATCAAATTAAAAAAAACCCCACAAAATTGAGATTTTCATCAGGCTCTGAGGTATGTGAAATTGGAAGGAAGGCGAATGATTAAAGAAAATAGACTGTGTACACATTTTTATGAGGCTTTATTTCAATACAGAAATTTCGATTGGAGAGACCAAGGTAATGAAAAGTTGTACAGTTAACACGCTGGTTAATACGAACCATTGTCCTCAAAATTTGAAGAAGCGATATCGATTGTCGCTTGCCATTGTTGTTCCTCAAAGTGGAAGTCACTCGCATTCTGGCGATAGACTTTTTGAATGACCAAAACTGTCGAAAAAAAAAACAGTCAATGACAAATGAAAGCACTTACGGTGAAATTTACAATATCACATATACACAAACTTACGTTTTGCGGTGTACCCAAAATATGTCATAATCTTATTGAATGGAAGTGTATTTTTTGCATCTTATTTGCCCTTCAACGACTATTCGACAATTTCAACCATTTTAAAACGTTTTTTCAATGTAAAACTGATTAAAAGTGAGTAGTGCTGCACTGACCCCAATTGTGAAAACTCACTTCATTCCTCAAACCGTTTGGTCGGAGAACTATAAAGTTCATTAGAGGGAGTTTTTAGGAGTACAGTTAAAAATCTTGCATTTACAAGTATATGCATCGCAGTCGATAGGCAAATTTTGAGCTCAGTGTATAGTATGAAGTATGCGGAAAGTATTTGTAAGATTTGACAATTTCAGTTAGTAAAGTGTTACTCACCAGTCTATTATTTAAGAAAAGTTTCAATAAACAGAGCGAGAAGAAGGGTTTCACAATTTGAAAGATTCTGATTTTCTATTGTTGATTGTTCAAGAATACCTTGAATTTCGTTCTTCACCGCAAAAAATCAAAGTATTAAAAAAATTGAAAGAACAGATGAATCGATGACATTCAACGATAACATTTCATGTAGGTTGGGCTTATAACAACCCATTCGGTCAGTCAGTAAGTCAGTACAAAACAGAGGAATATACTTTGAAACTAAACAGGTTTAGAGGTCGAAATCTCACCCATTGTTGGGAAAATGATCCTTACTGAAGGACTCGTTTCATTCAGGTGTCGCCTGCCATAATTAAGAGCAAATTTTTCGACGGCCTCTACCACCTTAAAGATGGATTTTTTCAGAGTTTTAACCTCTTCTATATCGGCCTTGTTTTTTGTGACGTTCTTGATTTTGAAGGTGAAATCTTCAAACACAGTTACAGCCTCCTACAATCACATAAAATATTTCCAGGTTATTAACCAGCCAGTCTCAAATGTACAATAAATATTAAGAACGCGAAAAAAGTCTAGCAGGAGGCCCCAAATGGTGTCCAGGGTATTCATTGGCTAAAGAACTCTTTTAGGAGCCTGGATTGTATTTTAAGCCTCATCATTTTCTCTCATATGGCTTAATGATGGTTTCTACTTAAAGGTCAGATATTTACTTCTTATCGTTTAAAAACATATATCAAGGTTAAAACGCCTTTAAGTTATGAAAATTACATACTTGTATGGAAGCCCTTTTGGTAATATTTATTCCGCCAAATCTTGAAACATACTCATTTGCCTGAAATAAAAATTAATGTCCGTCACATTTGTAAACGGAGAAGATCCTGAAAATGAACATGCATAAAAACGCTAAATGACTATTTAGGAAACATACCAG